ATTTTTAAACTATTTTTGAGCAGGTTTTGCTCAAAACCTCTCCTGTTGTGGGGAACAATATGAGTAAAATATAGACTTCTTTTACGTAAGGCTTCAAAATCTTCTGATAAATGTCAACCAATCGGTTATTTTTTTACAACTATTGTTTGAATGAATTAAACTTTCTGTCCCCAACTCAACACCAAAATTTTAACCCCAAATATGTTTGTGTGTAGAAATAACCCCAAATTTTGCAAACCTAAATAGTTTCTTACCTTGAAAGTAAATTTATATCTGGAAAAAATATCAGGTTAATTTAATATGTGTTTTGAAATGTTTTCATGTATCTAGTTGTTTAATACTCATTTTTAAAACCAAGTTGACTAAACAACTAAAACTGAGTTGTTAAATAGTCAGTCTTATAAAATGGTCTAAAAACTACAGAGGTAACGCATGGTCATACTTCCACATAATGGGGCAAATAATTCCGTATCTTACTCTTCTTCAATTTTCTGTTTTTTCCTAATTCTTTATGTCTTAGTTGTTCCAGGATCACTAAAATGTTGGTCAAATTTCACATTGCAACTGATACTTTTCATCTGCTAATTCCCTCCTTACAGGAACTAATAGTTCCATTATTAAAAATAAACAAATTATATCTCTATCCAAAATAAACAAAAATAATGTTTGGTGGTTTATACATTTGAATATTATGATGAACTTCTTCTTTGCTTTGAAATAATATGTTGTCACTAAGAAGTATATTCCCAGTTTATAGTGTCTTTTTTTTTTCCCCTTGGGAATTTAAAATACTTTAAATAATTTGGGCTTTGCCTGATTCCCCCAGAAGCGTAGAGTATGACTGATAACTGCCTTTAGAATCCCTAATAGCTAAATTACAATTATTATGCAAAGTCCTACAACAGACAGTTATATGGATTGTTAAATGACTTTGCCTTTTTTGCAAACTATAATCATTTTCCTTTATTAGCTGAAGGATTTCATAATTTAAGGAAAATGAAAAACCTATAAGTCACACTTTCAAAGAAGGAACATGGATATTGCAAACATTAAATTCCCCCATAAAAATGTTAAGGCATCATTAAACTAGGTTCAGATTAATACAATTCAGTCAACTCTAGATAGATATCTCCCATAATAAGCTGAAACAATACCTAGTGATCTAAGATGTAAAATATTTTACTACAGCCAATTTATAAGCCTATAAAACATATAGGTATCATTCAACTTCTTTATTAATAGTGCATGCCTTGTATTAAATCAAAACCGTTTTAAAGGCCCCTCCCCTTTGACATTCCCTTCCTCAGCTGTTGCCCCTCATCATGTGTTATCTCACTGAAGCTCATCCAAAGTGAATGACAGCATCTTTTTTTACTAGAGCAGCATAGGCAATTCCCAGTCTAGTGCTACAGCTTAACTATCTTTGAGATTTAGACACACTTGCTACCTTCAACCTACAACATTCTATGGCCTTATGTTGATGTATTTGTTTCTCTACTGTAAGTAGATGTGGTTTCTCTCATTTTGGAAAACTGAAATTTATTATTTTTAGGTTTTTGCAAGTTGCTTTACATGTGAATCATATTCCCAAGAAAACTGATACGGGGAGAACTTTATGTTGTAGTCAATTCTTTTGAATCTGGAAGATCCATTTTTCACCCTGTTTTTGCCCAATAAGAAAGCCAAACATTTCATATTGGCTGAGTTACTGGGGGTTTTAATGAGTTATCGGTTCTGGTTATATACTGCCATATAACAACCTAACCCTAACAAAACAAGGATGTACACTGGGCTCACAATTCTGCAAGTGGGGATAACTCATCCCTGCTCTACTTGGCACTGGCTAGAGTAGTCCTAGTTTAGAGGCTGAAATCACCTGAAGATTAGCTTGTCTGTTTGTTGGTTGTTTGGTCACTCACCCCATGTGGTATCTCTGGCCTAGTGTCTTCAGGGCAGCCAGGTTGATCCATGCTGATTCTGAACAATGCAGAGTCCCAGGAAGAGATTGGTGCTCGAGCTCTTTCCAACCTGGTCTCATAAGTCCTTCCCATTACTTCCACCTCATCCCATGTGTTAAAAGAGAGTCAACATGGATGATCCATAATCAAGGGGAGGGGAATCCGACTCAACATTTTAATTGGAGAAGTATCAAAAAATGTGTGGACATGTTTTATAACTGTCACATTATAAAAGGGGAAATTAACCCAGGACTTTTAAATATCACTATGAAAAATAATCAGTGGTTCATTTCTAAGGTTGCCTCACAGAAACTATTTTTAAGATATAAATTCTTTTTTTAATGTAAAACAATTTTTTCAGCTTTAATGAGGTATAATTGACAAATAAATTTTCAATTTATTTAAAATGTACAACATAATGATTTCTTATATGTATAGACTGTGAAATGATTACCACAATTAAGTTAACTAACACATCCATCACCTCACATAGTTATCGTTTTTTTCTTTTTGGTGAGAATGCTTGTTCTTATTCCTTTGTTCCATAGACTCCTTACAACAAGATGTGTCATATCAGATCATCTTGCTAAAAAATCAGGGTACAATAAAGGAAAAAAATTTAATATATACAAATATGAGTAGTATGCTTACCAGAGAAATTTTGAACTCTGACTCATCACAGATACATATGCTATGAAATTAAGATTAAGCTATGATTAAGATTAAATCATAGATTAAGCTATGAAAGAATTTTCATACCATTTTGACAGTAGAGTTCTTCCATATAACATGGATAAATATGTTATTTTTAATACAAAATCATCCCAGAAGAATCTTTCTTTAACTAGGAAAAGAATTTTAAAGAATGAAGACCAAATCTCTAAGATTATTCAGACAAATAATAAGAACAAAATAAAACCAAAAAAAGATTAAAGTATAAATGCTTAAGCTGATATATATGTACATATACTTACAAAGTCAAGGTTAATATCGTAAAAAATTAATAAAATCGCTATAAATAGTTGATCAAAAAAGTATATAACTGAATTTACTAGAATAACTACACAATAAAAGTTTATTTCTCATTTACAAAGCAATCTAATCTGAATATTCCTAGTTGATAAGAAGCACTCCTCACTTAAGCTTGATATGTTAGTGCCAGGCAAAAGAAGACTGGGCCTCATTACAGTTCCGCCCAGAGGTAATCATGAAGCTCATCGGTAAAAGGAAATTATCCCATTTGCCAAAGCTTCAAGAAGTACACTTTGCTGTGTACCTCATAACTCAAGAAAGGTATAATGTGGCAGAGAGTCCTAGGCTGTGATCAGTGGTTTTGCCAATTGGTCAGAGGTATCTGTAAAGAGGTAAGACTGGAAGAACAGTGCCAAGAAGGACTGGAGAATAAGCACGTGAATGGATCTCTCAGGGAGGGCATCATATTTACAGATCTTTATGTATCACTTTAATGCCAACCAGAAAGCATCCACCAATGAGAAGTCACTTTACAACCAAATGGACAAGATGAACTGCCCTACAGATAACCTGCCTTTTTTCTTGACTACCTTTGTGCTTATATGTAATGGATCCATGATAACAGTGGCCTTGGGGGCAGGGATGGGAGCAATGCTTGAGCCCACAATACGGACTTTGTCTCAATATAGCTTCTAAGTTTCCAACCAACCAGCATCAGAAATGGAGCCTCTACCCTGGATATGGCACTATTTCTCTGGGGGCTGAGTGAACGGGTAAACAGGTTACGAGGTTAAACAGGCACCAGGTTAAATGCTGGCATCCAGATTCTGCTGTCCCAGGAGTCTATCATCTGTCTTAATATTGAGGAGCGCAGTTCAGTGGAAGCATTCCGACTGTCAACTCTGACCCATGGAGCACAGTCACTAGGAAGCTTGTCTAAGTTGTCTTTGCCTCCTCACCACGGCTTTCCTCACTTCCTTAGTAAAGGAAGTTCCTCTGAATCGTCCCAGAGAACACAGTCAGATGGTAGGTTCTTGGGTCCAATCTACCATAGCAATTCTAACCCCCCCATCTTTACGAACATCTGGACTGTTTTGTATACTACCACACAAAGTTCCCTTACTACCACTCTTTTTACTCTAGTGCATCATCCAGGTTAGATTTCCACAGATCGAAAAAGCTAAATGTTGGATCGTGACTCACGATGAGCAAAACCATGCCGATGACTTAATTCTCTCCTGCCCAGACTAATAATAGTCTGTGTCACCCTCCCTGACTCCAGTCTACCACCCTCTACTCAAGATCTTCTACATGGTCCCCTAGTTAGTGCTGACACATGTTAACCAAGTGTGCACGCAGCATTGCATGTATGCCCTGCATGTATGCAGGTTAACTTCTCCAAAATCTAACCTTACTTATCAGCGATTTGGCTGAAGTTAGGCCTAGGGTTGCAACTTGAAACGCAGCAGGTGACAAGCTCATCAGGGACAGCAGAAGGGATGCTGCAGTCCAGGAGGTGGACAGTTGACCTCTGAAGGAAATTGTGCCCAATGTAATCTGAGAAGGCCCAAAATGTTTGTATCTAATACAATATTTCTTTCAGGACAATAAGGCTTTCAAGGTTATATATTTACCAAAGAGTTTTTACCTTTTTCTTTTCCTATGATGTATTGATTTATAAATGAACTTAAAAAAATCCCTAATCTTTTAATCTAAAATGTATCTTAGTTGTACAAGTTAATTTCTCTATGATAATTGCCCTTGTTAGCTTAGCATACAATAAGGAAAGGCATACTTTTCATCATCAGACCAACTGTAAACTATGCCCTTACGGGTAAGGAATTTAACTTCTTAAGGCCTTAGTTGTAAGTAAAATTTATGTAATATCAAATAATTCACTGGTTTATTATAAAGACACTTTCAAAAATAAATCCATGCATTTCAATTAAATAGATCATGAATTTCACAAATTGATAAGGTAAGCCCTATAATATATTAACTATATGAATATAACTATATATTTCATTAAAATGATATATATATAAAATAAAGGTAAATTGAGCCCTGTAGAATGGCAATTTAATAAAATTATATAGTAATCCACCAATAGGTTATACTCATATTATTCTGTGTAATAAAGAAAAGGTTAAGTGTGAAGCAAAATGTACAAGATACAAACAACTAAGAAGGCAAAACTATATATTTGAAAACACAGTTGTGGTTCATGGCCAATTATTTCATATCTCTAAGAGAATTTTCTAATTGCATACAAAGGGTAAATTTAATTACCATACAAACGTTTGAAACTCTCTGATATAATAAATCCCTTAGGATCACATGTCAATTAAACAGATTTCCTTCTCTTTCCAAATACATTATTGATCAGTTTGGCCATGGATTTAGATCCACTGGATCTTCTCTTTTCTTTGAGTTTGAAGTTTGTCAGGATGCCCTTGATAATTCTGATAAACATCATTTCCACCTCCAGAGATTGCTCTGCTGCAGACAGTTCACAGAATTGGCACCGGTTATCCAATGCCAGTTTTTGCCCTTCTTCCCAGCCAACCTCTCGCACATGACAGAGATCTTGCTTGTTACCCACCAAAAGCACAGCTGATTCCACAGCTCTGAAACACAGATACACAATTCTTTGGCAAGACTGTTTTAACAGCTCTTTTTTTTTTTATTAAGTAGGTTTATATCAAAAAGAATTATGGACCAAAAAAAAAAGAATACTGTGTGTGTATGTGTGTTATTTGTGGTCATGTGTGTGTGTATCTCATGTACTTACAAAAATTAATTTAGATAAAATGTAGTAAATGACACAGAAGCAACAAGGCTCTTAAAGCATAACATTTGAAGTGGTACAAACCTATTCCCGGAATTACGGCTCTGTTTACTAACAAGACATGATTGTAACATTTTCCACTTTCAATTCCCTTATATGTAAAAAAAAAAAAAAAAAAAAAAAAAGGGAAAATAGTCCTCATCACACAGAATGCTCACAGAGGTTAAATGAAGATGTGTATAAAAATCTAGCCCAGTGCCAGGCAATAAAATGAGCTTACTAAGTGTTATCTTTCATTTCCTTATCAACTGAAAAAGAAGGACTAACTAATGCCTCTTTACTAATTCAATACTTGTTGCTGTTTGTTAATATTCATTACAGCATACTTTAAAGAAAATTTTACAGTCTCGTGACCTTGTACAATTTTTCTGTTTATTGAAGAAATATATCGCTTTGGTAAGGTAATGTCTTTGGCAAATATCAATATAATCTCCTCGGTTACAGTGTAACATTCCTAAAGCAGAGTTCCATTTGAAGAATACAGTAAGGCTACTAGGTCTTAAATGGCATGGAACTCTGCCAAGATATCGCCTATAGGGAAGAAATGGGAAAATGAAAACAGTCTTCAGGCTGGTTTCATTCACATGACAGTGTGAGCCGTAAGGGAAAAAGCACTGTATGTGTTGGATTTTGAAGTCACTAAGAGTATCTTTTTCTATAGAGTTCAGAAAATTATTGTGAAGAATTAATGGGGAAGAAAAAATGAAATATTTTGAAGGGTGAATCACAAATATCAGATGGAATTTTATAAAACAATGCCATAATTTTGCTTTTTATCTACAAATTAGAGACTCTAGTTTACCTAGAGATTGAGAACTGGAAAATCTCAAAATTTATTTGGTCAATATATTAAAAAGTTTGCCTGAAAAATGTCAAATATAGGGATTTTTTAAATATACTTTTTTTGCCTATTCGTGAGTGATTCTTTTGATTTGTAAGAATAGAAAGTAGTTTTAATTACTTTCCCTTACCTAAGTTATGGTGCTTAAATATAAGGCATTTAACACTTGAAACAATGGAGGTCCCTCAAAATCAATTATATTATAGGAAATCAGAGCTATGAGGTACCTTAAAAAATCACATTCTTTTCCCCTACCCTGTTTCTATCAGTTTTATAGTCAGAAAAAGGAGGTCTAGAGATTAAAGGGTTTACCCAAGGTCAATCAGATATAAACAAGAATTTAGATCAAATGACTGTAGGGAAATATAACTTTTCAATTATTATCTGATGATTTCTTGATAGTAGGCATTTAAAATAGATATAAAAAGCACAGGTACCAATTTTCAGGTATAATATTGTGCTTTTTTGCTTCCCAGATTAGAATGCTATTTTAGATTTTAAGGGCAAATCTGGTTACGAGCACAAAGAATCCCTTATACCAGCAGGTTAAACAAAAATAAATATTTTAAATGGAAAGGCTAAAACAATAAAAAAAAAAAAAGGAAAACTAAAATGGGAAATTCATAGGTTTAAATTTATAACTACTAATGCAAAATTAGTTTAAGGCACAGTTATGTTTTTCCTTCGTAGTCACTTGTGTCAAGACATTAGCAATCGGGAGTCGTTGATCAGTTCTTTGTTTTAGGAGGTGAAATGGAGAAAAAGGTACTCTCATACTTAGAATCTGTAACAGTTTGATTATTCAGTCTATTTTGCTTTGACTGATTGAACAGTTCAATGACTAGGAATTGGATGCCAAGTGTAATAAATCTGGATTTATTTAGTATCCTTCACATTTTTTGTGGGAATGAAAAAGAAAGGTGGAAAGGGAACTATCTGTGTACAGAGGACCATTATTTTGCAAGTGAATGTCATGTTAACAATAGAAGCTGTCTTGTAAAATAGCCATTTACTCGGGGCAAGTAACTGTTTATGTCAGCCAGGATATAAAGTATTCTCATCTTATTCCTTTTACTACATGTGTAACTCCTGTGGAATGGAAGGTGGATCGTTCAGGGCTGTTAAATTTTGTAATTGGAAGCCTGTATTAAACTCTTCCTAATGATGCTTACAGCTCTATGATGATTTACTAAAAAGAAAGGAGAGAGGAAAGAAAAATACCTCACCTTTTACAATGACTAGTCTGTGGCTCCCGAATTCTGTAGATTAGTGCTTTTGCAAAAGCAAACGAAGACCTGTCACTGATGTCATACACAATAATAAACCCATCTGCCCAACGCAGCTCACTTGTGAGGGAAAATTTTGCTTTCTGTGGCTGAAAATAAACCAAGCACATTGAAAGTGGTGGGATCTGATCCCTGTATTTTATCCGTTAGACAGTTAATTAATGGAGACCCATTTCACCTGGAAGAGAATTCAGCAAGCCAAATACTGATATTTTCTAAAATGTAGTCTCTGTTTCTTTTTTATCATCCTCTTTCTTTAAACAAAAGTGATTAAATTTTAAAAAATAAAGAGCTATAATAAAGTTATATCCATCTCATTTGATACCTTTTTTCTAAAATAACTCTTTTTCTGAAAATTTGATAAGCCCTAATAATTCCATTTAAAATCAATATCCACATATATGTTTGAAAAGAGATGATATTTTCTATCCTTATTAGTAAATGGAATATGTATTGATTTTTGGTACTAGATTTAAATCAGTAAAAAAAAACCCAGTATTGATAAGGTTTAGCTAAAAAGATTTGAGGGATATCTTCTTCAAATCATAATTGAAAACATATTTTGTTTTACTTACCTGAGAACAAGAGTCGTATATTTCTAGATTCAATTGCTTCCCTTCCAAATACAAATGCTTTTTATAGATAGATTCTGAAAAATATGCATATACTCATTGTCAGTATGGAAATCCTCCAGAGTTTAAAAAATGGTCTTATAGGGCTTCCCTGGTGGCGCAGCGGTTGAGAGTCCACCTGCCGATGCAGGGGACGCGGGTTCGTGCTCCGGTCTGGGAAGATCCCACATGCCGCGGAGCGGCTGAGCCTGTGAGCCATGGCCGCTGGGCCTGCGCGTCCGGAGCCTGTGCTCCGCAACGGGAGAGGCCGCAAGAGTGAGAGGCCCGCGTACCGAAAAAAAAAAAAAAAAATGACCTTATATTTGGATCACAGTCCTGCAAAGTCAACCAGTCATATTTTAGTTGAGTACTACAGTAGCTTTTCTTTATTGCTAGTGGTCAAAAACCCATATATTTGCTAATGTATATTTCTTACAAATGAACTTTACCACTATATCTATTCACCTACATGTTTTTCTGCCTATGTACTTATCTTCCATTCTATTACTACGGATGAATTATCTGTGTTTCTATCTAAGGCCAGTCTATTCACTATAAACTAGTTACTATTTCCTCTGACCTGCTGAAAGACATGGCTCCAACAATTCTACCTCTTTCTTCTGCATCATAAAATTTTCCTCTTTATTATATCATTACTAGCAACTGAATTTCTCCTAACTTAACAACCCTTTGGATCCCAACTATTGCTCTATTTCTCTGCTGGCCTTTTGGTAAATATCTGTACTCCCTGTGTCCAAATCCTCTCCTTCCCTGACCTTCAAATTATTACAATCAGGCTTTAACTCCAATTACTTGACTAAAACTGTTTTTATCAGGGTTATGGTTTTAGACTCAGTGAAAAGTTCTTGATCTTACCTGCCTTGTCAGTAGTATTAGTATAGTTGATCACACCTACCTCCTCAAAAAGTTTTTTTCACATGGCTTTCAAGGCAACATACACTCCTGGGTTTTTTCTTTATTCCATATTGCTTTGTATTAAGCTTTTTTATCTGTCCCACAATATCTTCTCTCACTCCAACTGTGATTCTAGTTTATGGATTTCTTCTCTATCTACACTTACTCCCTTGCTAATCTCATCCAGTCAGAGTCTTTATGTAACAATTATTGCTGATAAACCCATTTCTGTAGTCTGGACCTCTTCCCTGGACTCTAGACATCTACCACCACTGGGAGCCTCCAAATAGATACCTGATAGACATCTCAACCTTAACATGCTTAAAGTGGAACCTCTGATCTCCCCGCAAAGACTGCATATCCCACAAGTTTCCATTTCATTAAATGACATATCCATAACTAGTCTCGCAGGTTAAAAGCCTCAAGGGCATCCCTGATTCTTTCTTTCTCTTACATCCTATGTTTATCCTATTAAAAATTCATTTTTACACTATCTTCAAAGAATATTTTGAATTTGTCTGCCTCTCATCACCTCCTTTGCTCACACTCTGGTCCAAGCCATCATTACTTTTGCCTGTATTATTAGAAAACCTCCTAACTCAGCTCTTTGCTTTATCCCTCCCCTAACTCCCTTCTTGCTCTCAGTTTATTCTCAATCCAGGAGCAAAAGCCAATTTGTAGCCAGATCATGTCACTTGCCTGATCAAATCTCTCCAATGGCTCTCCATCTCACTTAGATAAACCTAAGCTTTTAAAATGCCTGAGAATTTCCCTAGTTATCTAGTCTCCCATGACCCCTATGATCTCAGTAGACCTCTTTGGCTATTGTCTCCCACATTCCTCCACTGAAGCTACACAGTCTTCCATACCATTCCTCACATTTTTCAGAAAGTTCTTTCCTCCGAACTTCGGCAACTGTTTCTTCTACCTGGAATGTAACTGCCCAAATATCTTCATGGCTCAGTTTTTATCACCTGCAGGTCTGTTCAAATGTCTCCATCTCAGCCAGGTCTACCCTGACTACCCTATTTTAAATGACTACACACCACTCCCCTATGCTTTCTTGCGGCGAGCCGCCTCCGACCAGCAGAATAACGAGTCGCCACACGCAAGATTCTTCTCGTATCACACTTTATTGGAGCACAGCTTGGTTAAAGAAAAGATGGAAGGAAGACCCCGCAATCCTATAGCAGTCTGCTTATATAGGGATTAAGAACATGTGTCGCTCTGTGATTGGCTTTCGCCGATGGTGTGACTTGTGAGCCAGCATCGGATAGGTCGCTACTTTAAAACCTCATTAGTATACTTAGCGCAAGCGCAGTGGCCACAGGAAGGATGACTCAGCTTATTTCAGCTTCCTGCCGCGTAGCAGTTAGCTGACCGCGCCCTACACTTTCTTTTCCTTCATAACATTTATCATCATAAGACATTTTATATATATAGATAGATAGATAGATCTATATATAGATATATATATGTATAGATATAGATATATAAATGCATTTTTAATTAGCTGACCCTTCCCTCCAGAATGTAAATCTTATGAAGGCTCGGATATTTGTTCATTACTATAGGCTCTCTACCTAGAAGAGTACCTGCCACATGACAGGTATTCAATAAATATTTGTTGAATGAACGAAGGACTTCGTTTCTGTAACTGCCCCTCCAGTGCTTTAATACAAGACCTACCTCTCTCCAAAATTGCATACTGACACAAAATCATGACCCATTCTGGTAAATACTCTGTAACCTGTGGTTAGCAAAATGTAGCGGACGTTTGGGAAAGCCGACTTCAGGAGGTTAGGGATGAATTTTAAAATCCTTCTAGGTTACATTTAATGAAATTTGCTAGTGTTTCGTTAAATCTTAAAATGTCTTCAGACAGTTTATTCTAAACTTTATGAGCTTACTACTGTGAACCATATACTTTCCTTCCAAGACATTTTAAAATACCCACTCTCAAAACTCAAAACCTGCCAGCAGGGGTCACCAGCTCTTAACTTTTTAAAATTTTATTATTTTCCCCTTCTAGCCCTCATTTACAAATGGGGTCATTTTTTGCTAATTAACCCTCATGTGGTGGTGAACTTTTGCTCATTTGGTTGTCTTTAAGAATGTCTCTAGGTCTTATATTTTTAATAGAGATGTAACAGCCAGAAATGTGTACACTTCATTTGCTTATTTATCTATTGATATAGCTATATATCTATTGATATATCTTATAAAGATTAAGATGGTGTTTTTATTTTGTTGTTGCTGTTACTGCTTTTTGTGGGTGTTCTTTTATTTATGTTTTGTTTTATAGTTTTAGAACATTTTCTCATGCCTGACTCCTAGTTTGTGTGTTACCTTTTTTGACTGAGGTTGTTGACCTGAGATATGAAACAATAAGAATTTCTCTTCCTATATATTTCTTCTTTCTATAATCAGTTTTCAAGTGTTTGCCCTAAAACATTTACAATGGCATATGGATTGAAATACTATGTGGGCTACACATAGGAAACAATGAAATACTTTAGTTATTTTCTAAAATACTCTAATAATGCTATATCATAAATGAATGCTAAAGATTTTTGTTGTTTATTTCTCATGAAAACACTTCCAATCATAATTTCTTCTTACTCTAAATAAGTATTATTGAACAAAAGAATAATTTCCCTTTCTCCCCATTCTCATATTTCTTAAAATCTTTGTTCTTATTAAAAAAAACCCACAAAACCTTTCCCCACCACACCTTCAGTCAGGTAAGATATTAGTAGCATTATATAGATTAATTGCTGAGCCAAAAATATATTCAAACCTCTGGCAAAATTCCCCACTTATTAATTCCCCAATGTGGCATTTCCCATATGTCATGCTAATTCTGATCAAAATAACAGAAATTTATAGTAGAGTTAGTGAAATGATCCTAAGATTATATCAAGGTGCCCTGGCATCTGTTTTAGAATTTCTCTGAAACTTACATAAGCAACCTAGCTAATTATGATATGATCTTTAATCACAGCATAATTTTCCAGTTATTGTCACATGGTTTTGCAATAAAAATAAGCATTTATTTTGTAGTTACTTGTGCTTTTATAATTAATTTGTCTTTATTTTTCAACAGATGTTGCTTTAATTTCAAACTGTTTCAAATTGCTTACAAAAAAATCTGCACTCACATGCTCTACAACACTTGGTACAGGCGGTAGGTTCCTCTAGACTGAAACCAACTGGATTTCTAATCCATTTTATCTAACATCAAATTGGATAACTTTTTATCATAAAAGAACAATTAATTAAAATACTTATTTGGGCTTTTCTAACCAACCCATGAATAAATAAATTGCTTAAAAGTGCAAAAATGGGGGATTTCCCTGGTGGTGCAGTGGTTAAGAATCCGCCTGCCAATTCAGGCGACACGGGTTCGAGCCCTGGTCCAGGAAGATCCCACATGACGCAGAGCAACTAAGCCCGTGCACCACAACTACTAAGCCTGCGCTCTAGAGCCCGTGAGCCACAACTACTGAGCCCGAGTGCCACAACTACTGAAGCCCGCACGCCTAGAGCACATGCTCTGCAACAAGAGAAGCCACCGCAATGAGAAGCCCGCGCACTGCAACGAAGTGTAGCTCCCGCTGACGGCAGCTAGAGAAAGCCTGCGTGCAGCAACGAAGACCCAATGCAGCCAAAAATAAATAAATAAATTTATTCTTTAAAAAGTGCAAAAATGGAAGATTCTATTAAAATGTTTCTCTGATATTAATTATGATGCTGAAGTTTTAAGGGGAAAAAGTCTAAAGTAGTGACTTACCAAAATTAGAAGCATATTCTCCAATAAATCGCTTGGTAAGAAACCTTACTGTAAGGGCTGCAAAACAAAACAAGCTGGATTTGGGGTGTTATCTGTTTTAGGATACAAATAATTTAGTAATGTACATAAGCATCTAGCATCTCAGCTCAAAATTTACTAAGTATTAATGAAGACCTTAAAACTTTACTAAATTCTGGTCTAAGAATGTCCACTGTACAGCCATAAAAATTAGGAGGCTAGAAAGAAAATGATCTCAGTGTGCTGCCCACTCAAATCACTGCGTAAGTAATTTACAAATGCAAAGACACGTAAGACAACCCACCTTTGTAACAGAGACAGATTTCTCATTAAATATGAGATGCAAGAACTATAACATCTCTATATTTTCTTTATAAAATTAATTGTGGCTCCATGGTGCTGCATGCTAATAGTGGCCAGGACGGTCTCAAGCATTTGCAATTGTTTAAGGAAATAGGGACTTCAAAATCCAGGAAACTGAGGAACGACCTCTAGTGTTGGTTTATCTTATTGCAGCTCCTGGGTCTGGCCCGTTGTTAAGATTCATTAGGCTACGGTGGTTCTATTGGTGGCATGCTTAGTACCATCATAATGTGACCAAATACAAAACAAAAGAAAACAAAAACATAGCTTCCAAGGTCTGGTCTGGGCACCTCTTGCTCATTTCTGGGCATTTAAAAAGCCATGCCCCTCCAAAGTTTTTCTCACTTTGATAATGTGAAAAAATGGCATTTAAAAAATAATTCATAGGTCTCCACGCATCTCTCTCCACCCTTAGTCTCAGGGCAGCAGAATCTTTTCAAGGGCATTGTTTGGCCACTGGTAGGTGTGGAGGCAGGTGTGCTGGAGTGAGAAGTAGGTGGAATAGTGATGGGAGGGATTTCCTGTTATTCCAATGAATTTCAAACATCAGTAGAACAAGACACAAATTAATACTTCAAACAGTTATATTCCACAACCTGTATATAAATTATATACAGGTAATTGCATTACTTGCTTATAAAGCGAAAACTCCTACTTAAAAATAATATATAGTTATATCAAGTTTATATACATATAATGTTATAATGTAATACATATCATGTCAATATATTTCTCACTCTTTTTGTACTCTACACCATGCCACAGAAAACACCACCACTTACCAGATTTGCCCGTTCCTTCACTACCCAAGACAGCAAGTTTCACATCATTCATCTTGCTTTTCTGCTCCTTCTTGGTCCGTCCTGATTTCTGGAGATATACTGACTTGAGCCAAGCATGTGTTTTCCAAAATCCTTTTTATTATTGCTGCTCTCACTTCCCTAAGGCCAACTCCACCCCATACTCCTACCATCCAATAATAACTTTAAAAATATTTTCCTAGAGTAGTTTTGAACATGTCTCATAAAAAAACAGTGGGCTTACTATTTAGACACAAAGGTTTACTAAGCCAATAGTTAAGAGTTTAACAGAAGTGTAGCTCATCTTCTACTTTCATGTACCTGGAATCTACCTTCTCCTAGAACCTAGAAAGATGATCTCTCTTCATTAAGAAAGTTTTTAGAGGATGGGTAAACATTCCTGTAAATTTCCTTTGAGTGGATCAGTTTTGCTTTTTCTATTAATACCTGAGGCTACATCTTCTTGGGTTTCTCCTGTGAAAGACAAGGGAGAATAAGTTAATTCAATCATGAAAAGAAATGAAAGAAGGGACAGGATGGCTCTCTTGGATGGATTAGCTCAGGGTTGACAGCAATGCACGTGAATATCCAGCCCATGTTTTTGTGTCATTTGAGGCTCTCAAGGAGAAATATGGGAACCCCAGAGTTTCACCTTTCCAATGTCTTCCTTAAAAAGTAACTTTTCTCTTTCTTTTTAAAAAAGTGTTATACCAATAGACAACAGTAAGATTTCTGGAAAAAAACCATAAAGCAATCAGCCTCATGTTGTTTAAATAGCACTAAACAGGAACATGTCATGTTTCCTTACATAGTACTTTTTTAAAAAGAAAAGAACATTTGGAAGGGGTGTTCTGACATAATTCACTCCTGCTATGAAATAAAAAGGCAAATTTGATATGCACAATTATCACTCTTTTATACTTCTTTTCGTCAATTGTCCCTGCTACTCCAAGTCCCCAAATTATTTTCTTCCCTTTCTTTCTCCCCATTTGTATATGTATACATTTGAAAGTTGAGAAAAGAGTACAACAAAAAAATAGAAGAATTCAACTTTTGTGGACTACATTTTAAGACCCAGGTAAAGAAGTTTCCAGGTTGGGTCTATCACAGAAATACATGCTTCTTAAAAATGCATTTATTTAACAAATATTGATTAATTGCCACTCTCTGTTAAAGCTATATTTGGTTTAATTAGATAGGTCAACAATTCAATAATGAATTGTCTAACCTGATGGAGTCTACAGTCTACCAAGAGAAAAATGGAAACAGAATTACAACGAATATTATCATTGCTAAAATGGGGCTCTGATCAAGAGCTGGAGAAAGCAGATCAGTGGGTAGAAGGTCTTCAAAAAGTAGGTAAAGTTTGAAACATGATCAGGACCTACAGAGAGAGGAAGGAAAAAGTGATTGGGGAAGGAAAAGAGGAAGGAAAAAGTGATTGGGGAGTTGTGTCTGTTCTAAAAGAAGAAACAGACTCTGTAAAGAAAAAAAGGCAAGAGAGAGTATATCAGTTTGTGGGATGAACAAGGTAACATCTGAATAACTTAGAGTTTATCCTTTTATTACACATTATAAAAAAATTTTAAATAAGCTATGTTTTCTCTTTAATCCATGCCACTCTATTAAAGTAACAGAGTGGGTTTTTTTTTAAGGAAGTTTAACAATTGATTTAGTACACTATGGAATTAAAAGTTTTTCTTCTTTTTGGAGAAATCCTATTCTTATCTTCCTAAGAAACTTCTGATTGATGTCTTTAGGAAGTTTAGTATATCTACTGGTAGGAAGGAAGAACTTCATTTCATGACATGCATGACATTGAAAACAACATATGAAGGGTTGTCATCAAGACACCTTCATTCTTTCATCATAGCCTCTTCCTCCCTATGTCCATTGGTATCCCAAAGTAAATCTAGTTAAGAAAGCAGCCTGGGGCTAGAATAGAGTGAAATTATAAACCTGAACAAAGAGAATATAGTTATGCACATACTTTTCTAAGAAACAGAGTGCCAATATATATATTCTTTCGACCTCATGTAAAGGGTGTTAAAACGTTAGTATTCTAATAGACACATTATTATACTACCTAGAATTTTCTCACATCTCCCTAAAGAAACATCCATTCACAACCAAAGCAAAATCATTTATTACTTTATTCATTTACTGAATGAACAAAAATTTATTGAATGTCTACCGTGGGCTTGGCACTAATCTTCACTGCTAAAAACATATCAATAAACAAAGTATTCATAGATTCTGGTCATAGGAGATGGACATGTGACACTAAAAAAAACCCCAACTAGTTATGTATCGGTATTCATGAATGTTATAGTTTTATCTGTTTAGTTTTGTTTCTCTGAGGTCAGATTAACCAGCCCTTCTCAGCTAATCTCATTTCCCTATAGTTTCTGTTAGAGTAGATGCATAATTTCCATCAAAAGCTTCAGATTCACAAGAGTGGAGTGATTCAAACAAATACCTAAGGAGAAAGAATATCTTTGTTCCATTACCCTGTTCCAGATCTTGAAAAGATGAAATACTTCCCAACTTATTTTCTGTGTCTGTCATAAACCTAAACCAGACATAAATGGTATACACACACACACAGAGAACAAAGAAATAACCAATGTCATTTATGAATATAGAGCCCAGGTCCTAAGAATATGAGCAAATCAAATCCAGAAACGTATTTAAAGAGCCAAGCATCATGAGCTACAAGAACTTATTCAAAAAATGTCAAATTCGTTGAACATTAGGACACTTGGTGGCCTATTTTAATACATTGCCAAGATAAAGGAGAAAAACTATATGTCTCATATGCTCCCAAAAGCATTTCATGAAATTTAACAGCTACTTAAAAAAAAAAAAAACTTTTGTAATCTAAAAATAGGGGATTTCTTAACGTGATTAAGGTTATAATTTTTAGGAATCCAAATATCAAAAAAATGTCTATAGATTTATTGCTAATTTTCCTCTAAAAAGAGGATATTGTCTGTTACTTTTTAGCATGGAATTGGTAGTCCTATCCAACACAATGAGGAAATAGCACATATGAAAAAGAGGAGACAAAATGATTATTATCTACAAATGATAGTTTTCTATAGCTACATTATCTGCATTATTAGCATGCATTAAAACCATTCAGTAAGGTGGCCAGATAAGATACCATAACAAAAGCAATAATTCCAAACAGTAAATCTAGCAGCTAACACGTGTTTAACACAGTATAATAACAGGCAATTTTTAAAAATGATTTCCAGGTATACAACATTTAATCCTCTGAGAAACTTCATGAAGTAAGTATCATTAATAACTTCTAACATGATAGAAATACAGTCCTTTTCACAAAGAAAGAAGAGGGGGAAAAAGGATGCAAAGAAGAATAAAACTAAAAGGGAATGTATAACATTTATATGATAAATTCTCTAATCCTTTACTGAAGATTATAAAACAAGCCTTGAATATGTGGACAAACATGACTAGAAAGACTCAATGTTGTAATTACTGCCAAATTAATCTGCAAGCAAAATGTAATGACAATTAAAATCCCAACAAAGATTGTTTAATTGAATGTGGACAGCCTGTTTTGGAAAAGAAAATATGTAAGAATAATTGAGAAATTTTAAGGTAAAATAGTAAGAAAATACCTTTTATGAGCTAAATCATACCAAAAAATAATTAAATCCTACTTTATTAGAACTGGATTGATATGCTCATTAACAGAATAGCTATTTGAGTATAGAAATTGAGTACATAGAAATTAATTTTATTATAAAGTTTTTAATATGTGCTATCATTAAATAGCATTGATACTATCAGAAAAAGTCACTGAATGATAAGTTATGTTTGTACCTCACATGCAGAAAAATGAATTATGAATATTAAAAACCTTAGCATGAAAAACTAGAAAAGGGTCAAATTGACATATATATGGGAATCTTCCAAATAATCTCGAGGAGGGTGAAGTCTTCCTAGGCAAAAAATGAATCCAAAGACAAAGGAAAAATACATATAGAAAAAAATAATCCAGTGACTTTTCATAATTGAACTTTAAGTGTCAGTTATGTTAGTCCCATGGGATTATTTACCAAAGTGAGTGCATATGTCGATTTATTAATAGCACAATAAGTATCTACATACAAATGGATCATTTTTAATCAGAATGGAGGTACTCATCTCACCTCTAATTATAAAGCAAGTTACTGAAGCAATTAAAGTTCTAGCAGAAGCAAATGTTTTTAAGATGGAATTACTTCTGGATACTTTTATGTGCTAATATGGAAATTCATCATGGAAGAGTAGTGGATTTTTTTAAGAAGAAGAAAATGCTATTCTAATCTCACAAAGCACATGTTTTCAAACAGCTAACAGATTTAAACTACATTGAGGTGTACGAACATTTGCACATTATATTGGGGTTAGGTAAGGAATCTAAAGGGAAAATTTTACAGAAAAAACAACAACATTTGATTGCTAAGCTCTGTTTTTTTCTGTTCTCAAAGCACTTTTTGCAATTCATCATGGCACAGGTAACATTCCCAGCCAGAGATCAGAAGCAATTTCTCTGCAATCACAAATCCTCCAAAACCTCTTCCAAAGAAATTATTCAAATCCAGACATTTACTCTAATAACCAAATGATGAAGATATTGCAATAGTGGCTACAATACAAAACTTCCATTAATATGAAAAGTAGTTACTATGAAGAAGAGTGCTTTCTTGTTTGCTAGTATTGTAATAAAATACTTTATACATTAAATTCAATTTACAGAAAAAGATAAAGTTTGATAACTTTTGTAGTAGAATTTGTAACTGGACATAATCCTCATCGTAATAAAATTCACCTTTATGAACTAGTATTGTTCTATGTTACAATAAACATTTATGTATTAATATATTTATAAAATATGATTTTTTTCTCTATGATAAGTGTGTGTGTGTGTAAATTGCAACTGAACAAGGTAAAGATGTTTATATCATCCCCAAGCAATTTAAAAACTCAGTTGACATCATTAATAGAATTGACCTATGACACTCATGCCTTTATTATTCTAAATCACTTTTACAACAAGCTTTGAAAGATAATCTTTCACTAGGGTATCAAATTCTAAAGAAATGTTTTATTCAATATGTAATGTTAGTAATTAACTAAATTACATGGGCTTTCTTGGTAAAAGAAAAATGATGAATACTTCACTAATTTTCAAGGGTTTTCAAAGCATATGTGAGACTAAATAATTGAATGGCTTTGCTAATTTTTCTCAGCATGTATACTTATAATTGCAATTATCTTTTGAAGGTAATGATTCAGTATTTATTTTACTCTTTTAAATTATTCTTGAGGTGTTTATTGTTTCATAAGGTTTTAGTTTCCCGCTACGTTTATAATAGTTAAAACATGATAGCTAACAGTAATTACGACTCAGCTAGTCACCCTCTTTGTCTCCTCTACAAATTTATGTCATCTTTCCACAGACACGAGAAATCTTTGAAGCTACTTTAGTTCTCCTCAAAAGTCGTAAGTAGGCTAAAATTTTAGTTAGCTCTTTCTTAATCACTTGAAGTTGGCCAGTAGATACAAAAGCATGGTCTTCAAAAACAGTCTTCCTTCTGTAACACAGCTGCTGCAACAGGAAGCCTGATTGAGTGCACATTCTGCAGAAATAATGAGTTTAAAAAGCTGAGCAAGGCAGATGTGAGAAAAATGTCACTCATATTTTCTCGACTCCTTTCATTACCCTTTAGAAATAAATATTCCAAAATTAAAATTAAATTTTCAGAATTAAGATTGCTGTGTTGCCATAACATCTTACGGAAAAACCCGAACAAACTTTTCGGCCAACCTAATATATGTATACGTGTGTGTATACACACACACGCATATCTATCTATCTATCATCTATCTATATGAGACCCTATTGTCTCTGTTCCTCTAGAATGCTCTGACTAATAAAACTTCCAAGAAGAAA